CCCCAAAACCCCAAAACCCCAAAACCCCATTAACGAGTTCCAAATTTATAAAATTATAATAAAAATGGAGATGGACAAAACCTATCAACAAAAGATTTGGAGAGCAGAGAAAGAACTCAGCTTTACTCTAGAACAGCTCGCACTATGTAAGAATTCTCTTAAATTTAACATTATATGTAGGTTTTGCTAATATGAACAAGAGAAATGGCCAAAAAGTTAATGAGTAAGAAATATTGGTCACATCTCTACTCCTAAATAGCACTATGGCCTATCTTATCCTTCCATAGTTATCTTTCTAGTCCTTAAATATGTCTTCACCTTCATTTATTGTCTATCAGAGTAAATCTAGCATAAACTGTTGGTAAAATCTTTCTTAAGACTGTCCTTCCCCAAGGACAGTTTATATTAACTTTAATAAGAGCTAGGCTAGACTTAAGCCAGATATTATGTTGGCTTATTCCCAGGTTTGAGTTTTAATTTAGAATGATCTATCAGATGACGAAAGGAGAGCAGAAATGGGACCATATGTGGCTTTATTATAGGAAAATGGGGGAGATTGAAGGTCTTGGAGACACGCACAGGGTGTGTATTTTGAATGGAGATATGATCGGACTTCCTTTTAAGAGGTAGGTGGATTTGGTGATGGATGTCAGGGGTTTATGGTGAAGGGCGAGTTTGATATTTAAGAGCTTGGATTTTGGGATAGGATGAAGGAAAGTATATTTTTGCTGAATGAATAGCTCTTTAGTTAACTTAATTTTGGGTTATAGCTCTTTGGTGGAACAGAATTAGCATTAAAAATATGCTATTCTCTTGGATTATTGTAAAATTGCCTTAGATTTGAGACGTACATAATTGTACTAAAGAATAGATCTCCAAATATCTTCCCAATAACTCTCTCAAAAATATTTCTGCAATCAGAAAAGTCAAACTTCATAAAAAGACCTTATATTTAAGCTAGAATGTCTCAACCAAAAACATAAAATTATGATTTTTCATTATGAAAACCTCTCTACCCCTAAATCATTGTCAATATTCTAAAAACAAGTAACCCATTTTCAAACAATAAAATTCAAGTTTGTCTCCAAAACCACTAAATTTAAGAATATTTCACCCAAAGATACAATAACTAAACTCAAAAATAAGTCTGCACTGGTGACTTTCCTGATAATTTTTGGGCAGTTATCTTTATAAGATGTTTATTTGTAAAATTCATAAATTCTCAAGATATTTTAGATTGTTTCTGAAGAGAGCAGTTATCACATTAATGGTCAATGGGCTAAACCCAAATTGGAAGTTGCCAGAAAAGTCAATCAGCTCATTATGCTCGATGTTAAATAGAGGACCTGCATCTGTGTTTATTAATTCATTTGAAATCTCAGCTAAACAGTTTCAGACAATAGTCTCGGCTTGCACTAGTTGTAAATAAAATCAGATTTAATGATTGAAAAATTGGAACAGAAAATCTCAGATTCAGGACTAGTTTTGCACAAGATATTCGGGCATTATCATTTTATGCTTGTGGACATTCGGAGAGGAGTAATTGGGATGAATATCCGGAAAGGATCTATAATTTACTCAAAGCCATAGCGCAATCTGGTCTCAAACAGAAACTTCAAATCTTTGATTTTCACAAAGCAAATATTGCCGTACAAGATATGATTGATTGGATAATAGAACTTGGATTAGAAAGACTAAAAGTTATTTATTACGAGAAAAGGAAAAAGCATATTCTCCATTTATCAGAATAATTGACTAAATTCCGACAAAGTTTCAATATTTTTAGTCTTTCGGGGTTTTGGGGTTTTGGGGTTTTGGGGTTTTGGGG